CCCTCATGAGCAGAGATCAGAATCCCAAATAATTAACGCAGGGTGTCTCCCCCTCGGCACTTCTAACATTCTGGGCAGGTCGCTCTCGAGTGGGGGCGTCCTGGGCCCTAGTTCAGTAGTATCCCCGCCTCCCCCCCACCCCCCGCCACTCCTGACAGCCACAGACGTCCCCAGACAGGGCTCACTGTCCTCTGGGGGTGGGCGGTGTCAGGTGAGGGACGGTGCCCTGCTGTAAAGGATCAAGGTCCGTGACGAGCAGGAGCGGAACCTCAGGCCACCCCTATCCTCGCCTCTGAGCCCCTCTGGGCCAGCACAGGGCATCCCCTGGAACTCAGGCCTCATCTCCCTCCCTCAGCCCTTCCTCCACCCCCTCCCCCCTCAAACCATCCCACTCCCCTGCCTGCCCCAGCCCTGCTCCGTGTGTCCAGAGGGACTCTCCGCCCACTGGCCCATCACCCTCCATTTCTACCCAACAGGCACGGGGTGGCAGCAAATACCCATTTATGGGGGGGGCGGCCGACCATCAGCCCCCAGCCGCCAGCACAGCGGTGCGCGGCCCGGGAGACAACCGTGCCAAAACGGGAAGGATGTGCAGTCTTGTCTACACCTGCACAAAACCCCACTGGCAGGACACAGGCCAGCAGACCCCTCTGGGGTCACCGCCAGGTGCTGCCTGGACTCCTGTCAAGGGGTCGGCAGCCCAGGTGGATTTAGCAAAAGGGACAGGAGTGAGACAGCCCCAGAGGAGAAGGGCATCCGTGCACGGCGGGAGCGAAGTTAGCAAGCCCTGCATGCCCGGTGGGGACCGACGGGGTCAGGCCCAGAGACAGACCCCGACTCCTCCAAGCTCTCGCTTCCTGGGACCGGGAACAATCAGCACAGACCACAGCACCGGAATGAGATTCTCCAACACATCGGGATATCTCCGGTCAGCTGCCTTCACTACAGCCTGGTGAGTCAAATGCTTCCTCGACCTGTCCGTGCCACCCTCTTGGCCCTGGAAACTTCCTCAGGGCCCTCTTCATCCAAAGAGATCGCTTCAGGTACCTGCAACGTAACTAAAATGCATGTGTTAATGGGGCACCTGGCTGGATCGGCCGGTGGAGTGTGTGACCCTTGATCTCAAGGTTGTGAGTTTGAGCCCCGTGTTGGGTGTGGCGCCTACTTAAAAATAAATAAAATAAAAATAAAACCCATGTGTTGAGACCAGGAGGCCTTTCCTTCATCCAGCCAAATGGCGGCCACCTGTAGGGGATGTGGGGCAGCAGGACCGCAGCATCTACAGCAGAGCTCCACGCAGAGGCAGGGGGACGGAGCCTGGGACCGCACTTCTAATCCCACACTGAGAGTCAAGGGGCCCCGGGAAAGCCCACCCCAGGTCCTCACTGATAGGAAGGCGAGCCCCCCGCTCTGCACTGTCCTCGCGTGCCTCCCCCTCCACCCATTGCCATCAGGATGAAACCACCACCCAATGTCCATCCTCTACAAGATGGTCACAGCACCAGCTCTGAACGAAACCAGAGGGCAGCACCCTTGCCTCTGCAGTGAAACAGCTCAACACTCCTACTCCGACGTCCAAAAAGTTTGTTCTTAAAAATACAAGTCCACACTCTGACATAAAGAGGCGGATCCACCGTGGGCATGCTGGGCCGTCCGCTTGTTTGTTTGGTTCACTGTGATCAAAGCACCGTGAGTGAGCACTCGAGTCAGTCACCTTATCTCTACCAGGAAAGGACGGACACAATGTCAGGCAGTCCCCGAACAGAAGGGGCAGTCCCCGAACACAGCTGGCAGCGGCCAGAGCTCCAGGACAGAGAGTGCAGGAGGAGGGCACGCCAAGCCATCTGCCCAGGGACCCCCGAGCGTCCTGGGGGTTCCTATCACATCTGTACTTTCCGTGTCCCCTACAGGTTACATCGTGGGTCTAAACACAAGGAAAAACAATGTGTAAAGAAAAAGGAAAGGCGAGGAGCTCAGCCCGGATGCAGGAAGTGGAGGCAGAGGAAGTGGTGCCTTCCGGCCCCCCCCCCCCCCCCCCCCCCCCGCTGCCTGGGACCTGCCCAGGGTTGCTGCCCAACCCAAGTGGACTGCTTAGCCGACTTGTCGATTAACTGGAGGAAAAACTGAATGAGGGTCATAAAGCCATTCAAGCTTACAGAGAAATGGAGAGTCACTGCCTTCACGGTCACGTCGGCCCCAAACAAAACACATGGTGACAAACAGGCCCACTGCCCTGAGAAGCACCGGCTCCATGCATCCCCGAGCGAGGCCCGCGCATCACTCCCCGTCAGATGAGGAGGGGTCCGCTGGGCTCCGAGGGGCAGACCAGGGGCCACGGCAGCACTGGCAGAGGGACACTGAGCAAGATCCCGTCACCTCTCAGCCCCGCTGTTGATGCTTCTGAACGCTGTCCCAGGAGGGAGACCGAAACAAGGGGAAGTTGCTCGTAGGATGGTACACACACGTCCTCAACAGCACGACTCACAGGAAGCGTCAGGTGGACACGACCTGAACACCCACTGGCAGGTAAGTGGACAAACGTGACGCGGTCGATCTGTACACGCGCACATCCCTCGGCCGCGAGCAGGAGCGAGAGGCGCCCACACCCGCCGCCCCGCGGACGGACCCCGAACACGCGACGCTCAGGGAGGGAACCCGACACGAGAGGCCACACGGGGTGTGAGTCCACGTGTGTGAAACGTTCAGAGCAGGCTCATCCACGGACAGGAAGGGGGGCTCGTGGGGGCTGGAGGAGGGGAGGAAGATGGCTGATGGGGACCAGGTTGCTTTCGGGGAGGCGGACCGTTCCCCCAGCCACACAGCGTTGAGGGTTTCACAATCCGTGTAAGTATTCGATGCCACCAAATCACACCTTATCGCCACCAATGTCGGTATGTGAGTTCCGTGTCAATAAAGCTGTTTGAATAAACTGCAGTCCGGCCGCATGGTGGGCCCAGAATAAAGGGCGGCCCTGCCAGCGTCCCGTACACTGTGAGGCCTGGCTCACGACCTACTGCCCCGAGCTCCCACATTTCAGCATGAGCCCCGCACCAGGGAAGGAGCGGACATCCAGGGAGGACGCCAGGACGGTCCCTGTGAGTTGCAGTGGACGGACCGCGCCCTCCCGAGGCCACCTCTGGCAGCCAGCCAGCCCGGGGTTAAAGTGGAACCCTTCCCGACACGGGGCGGGGCACCCCAGCAGACGCTGGGACCTTGTCGAGGCCACCTGGGACAAGACCAGGAGCCGACAAAGTCCAGGGCTCTGATCCTGGACACACTACAATCCCAACCATTCACCACCCAGATCCAACTATCTGCCAATCACCGCGAGGCGGCCCAGCCTGGAAGCCGGCGCCCGCCTGCATACAGAGCAGCCGCCCCCGTGCCGAGGACCCGCTGCTCCTGGGGCTCACTCGGGATACAGCAGCTGGCTGGATGAGACTGGCTGCGGAGGCTGGGGGACCGGCAGTCGGGACACAGCTTGTCAGAGGCACACACGCTCCCTTTGACCCCAAGACTCCACTTGCGGGGACGTGCCCTTCCAGCACCCTTGCGCTTATCACGGCACGTGGCAAGAAGTAACTCGCCAACGTAGCAAACAGAGCCACCAGCACAAGGTGGGTCAGACCCGGCCACGGAGCCCTGCCGCCCCACCAAGACCACCACCGAGACACGTAGCGGAGGCCCGACGACCGGCAGGGGTCCGAGAGCCACAGCCTGAGGGGCAGAGTGACCACCCCGTGACTTTATACGCCGACTTTGTATGCTGGTAAGCAGCAAGTGAATTTTATGATCCCAAACATCTGATGGAAAAAAGCCCACAAAGAACATTTTGTAGCGCATGCGACTCTCCGGAAAGTGAGTTGCAGCGTCTGTCGTGGTCGTGGGCACAGCCAGTCAGCCGCGCACCTGCCGCCCGCAGCTGCCTTCCCGCGGCTCCAGCACGGATGCACAGCGGTGCGCAGCCCAGGAGACAACCGTGTCAAAACGGGAAGCATGAGCAGCCTTGTCTACACCTGCACAAAACCCCACTGGCAGGACACACACCAGCAGATCACGCCGGCCGCCCCCGGAGAAGCGGGAGAGAGGGAGACCCCACCAAATGCCCTCTTCCCAGCTTTTACAGGTTCAATCCATGTGATTTACTGCCTGTTAGAAAAACAATACCACTTTCTTCCTAAAAACGATCAGGGTATATAAAAAGTGCTTGAACAGGTTTAAAGAAGAAACACAAAAAAAGACTTGATGAGATCACAAATGACTCTTTCCTACTTGATGCTTTCGGAAACTTTCTCACTCTATAAAAAGAACCTGCTAGTTTCTAGAAGCAAGAAGCAGAGAGGAGCAAGTGCAGACCCCAGGCGGTCTTCCTGGGAGGAAGCCACACGACGGGAGGGCCACCCTGGGCCACCCCCACCACGTTTACCACAGGCATCATTCTTTAGGCAAAAGGCTTCTGATCCACACTGGGACTCCAGAGGCTTGTCTGGACGGCTCCGGACACTTCACTCGGAGAAGAGCTATTGGGGTTTATTAAGCCTCTCAAAGACAAAGGAGCCTTTTTTTCCCCCGCAGCCGGCTGGCAGCATGGCCGGCCAAGGAGTACAGACTTCCCCATGCAAGGACACCCCTTTCCTTCCCCTGAGAGCCGGGCCCTGAGCTGACGAAACGGGCACTGGCACAGGGCCCCACAGCTGGGACACCTTATGCGAAGGGCCAAGCCAGCTGGGGACCCCGAGCCACTCCACCTCCCTGGCCTCGGTTTCGCCTCAGGTTCTTCTCAGGGACGCTGCGGGACCGAGCCCCTTGCAGCCCCAACACGGCACGCTCACGTGTCTCCACAAGCTCTTGGGGCCCTGACTGGCCATTCAGGAGTGCGGAGACTGGGACACCGGGCTCAGCAAACCCCACCCCCCCATCAGGTTCTGGTCGTTCGTGTCTCCCACAAGTACAAGGGAGCTCTCGGAGGTGGTGGAACGCCCTCTAACTTGACCTTGGGTGTGTGCATTCGTCAGGACTCACACTGCGTCTGGCGGACAAGTGTCTACGACACCTGCACCGTGCCTGAGCAGAGCGGGCACTCGCCCACCGCAGCACCACCCCTGTGTCCCAGCAGGGGTCCGCGGAGTCCTGCTGCCACCAGGAGCCCCAGGACAGTCAGCAGAGTGGACGTGGGGGACTCTCGCCACAGATCAGTTGGTGCCAGAACGCAGCCCAGGCCCTTGAGAGGGACTCTGGGAACCTTAGGGTGCTGTTCGCAAGAGGCTGGGGGGGCCACAGCAGCACGGAGTCCAGTGGCCAGCCCCAGGGATGCTCCGTGGACCCGTGCCGCCTCCAAGCAGGAGAGCTCAGCCACGGGCGGGCCCTGTTCCCCAGACACATCAGGGGATGAGGAGAGGAGCCCGTGGGACAGAGATGGACCCTGGACATTGGGAGAGGGGCTGTGCCAGGAGTGGGATCCAAGAAGCAGGAGCTCGAGTGCAGCCCCACACCCCGCAGGAGTGCCGGCAGGCTGAGGCCACGCAACCCCTAGGTGCTTCTGGCTTAACGAGAAAACACCTAGAAGGCAGCCGTTGAATGGGGATTCCTGACTCAGGGGTGAGGGGTCGCTTGGACCTCAGGAGGGTGCCGGTGGGGCCCCCCCCCCGCCTCAGTCTCCCCCCGCATGCAGGTGGCCCCTGTCCAACCCCATGTCACAGGTAAGAGACTGGCACAGAGAACTAGGGCATCCGGCCATCCCTTCTCCATGTCCACAGGCCGGGGCATGAAGACCAGAAGAAGGCCTCATCGAAATACAGCCCGCCCTGCCTCTGGACCACACTGTCCAGAGGCCGGGCACCAACACAGGAGCCAGTCCGGTCTCTGTCCTCAGCCCCTCCACAATTTCACCACACCCAGACCCGGGCCGGCCAGGGGCAAGTGAACACAGCTCAGCTTCTGCGTGAGAGCAGGCTGGGCCAGGAAGGGGGAGGTGGAAGCGGACAGAGGAGCAGCACTTTCCAGGATGGGCCTGGCGGGAGGGCCGACACCGGGACGTCCAAGGTCGTCAGTCAGTCCTGCCACCTGGCCCGTTAGATAAACCCCTTCTTGGAAACTGGAGGCTGGGAGGAACCCAGGCAGGGTGGGTCCCAGGGGCTGGCAGCCGACAAGAGGGGCACCTCCTCCTGAAACCAGCAAGAGGGGTGGAGACACGGCTCCCACCATCTGTGGGGAGCCTCCTGCATGCAGACTCCGAGACCTCTGCGAAGCCCAAGAGCGGACAGGCGCCCGGGAAAGTCTGGATAAAAAGTTTGCCAGGGCCTGGGCTGACTCCTCTCCCAGGGAGTCACCTGGGCTTGTAGTCACGGATGCATCTAGTGTCACATCCCAAATGAGCAAGAAAGGGCTAAGTTACCCCCTGCTGACCGATAAGCCAGTGCAAACAATTATTTTTGGCAACCGCAGGGCTCCCCTCCAACAGGATAAACAAATCGCATTTCGCCCGGCCCTAGTAACAGCTGCACGCTGCGCAGAAAACCTGCTGGTGGCGGCCAGGGCCGTTTAGGAACACGGCGTCTCAGGGCCAAATAAACATTGGCTGGTTCCACTGGGCACCTAAATTCTTTGGACAGCTGGGGGGGGGGGTGAGGGGGAGGCGCGCCCCCCTCCGAAAAAGGCTCTGACACCGCATCCTAAGAAACGGGACACCCGGCTGCAACAAGCCGGCCTGACTTCGTGAAAGTAACAAAGCAGATTTCCACCGACACCTTCCCTGTCAAGGAGGACACGGGAGCTGAGGGGACAGGAAGGAAGGGAGGAGGAAGGGAAGGACGGAAGGTGACCACCCTCGCTGGCTGGCCGCTCGCTGACCCAGGAAGCCCACACTTACTTCTTCACGTTGGCCTCCCCATTGGGGATCCTTCGCAACTTCTTCTTCTTGAGGATTTTGACGGCTCTCCTGCAGAGCGTCTCCGAGTCCAGCACCTCCTTCACCTTGCCGTAGGACCCCTCCCCCAGCAGGTCCCCCATCAAGTACTTGCCGATGAGCTTGGCCCGCTTGCGACGTGGCTGGTAGATGACCTCCGTGGAGTCGATGCGGTGGATGAACGTGTCCATCCCCACGGACATCAGCTCCCCCTCTGTAAACATGCCCAGCTGCTGCGGGTCGGCCACATCCATCCTGAACTCTCGCGGGCGGTCCCTTTATCTTCTTTATCTATTCCCCCCCGAAGAGCGGTTCTTCCTTTTGTCCCCCTAAAGTTCCCTTCTCCGA